TTTTAGGAGAAACAGACAGATGGAGCCACATAAGGGGGTTATGAGGTTGTTGCCAAAGAAGGCCAGTGGGAGAGAAGGTTGTGCAAAAAATGATGAGCCACAAAGGCCTGGCATAATTAATCCTGGTGATAAATTGTTGAGCTATTGCTTTTTCTACCTTTGTAATGGCTGCTCTGGCCTTTTGTGAGAGTATTCTGGGGGATCTTGGGTCTGGATTGCCTTTGAGAATGTCAAACAAGGGCTTAAGTTCTCCTGTGGTTAATTTTAAGTATGGGCGGAGCCAATTAATGTCGCGTAATAGTTTTTGAAAGTCATTTAATGTTTGAAAGTGATTGGTCCGAAGGACAGCCTTCTTAGTGGATATATTAGAACCATCAAGCTGAAAACCCAAGTAAAAGTATGGGTCTTGAAGCTGTATTTTTTCTGGTGCTATCTGGAGACCTGAAGCAGTGAGGTCGTGCTGAAGCTGCGTATAGCACTTTAGTATCGTCCCTCCATCGTGGCCAGCAATAAGGATATCATCCATGTAATGGATGATATACATGGAGGGCCATGAAGATCTGATTTTTTGTAAGGCTGTAGCAATAAACTTTTGGCACAAGGTGGGGCTATTGACCATCCCTTGGGGTAAAACCTTCCATTGATATCTTTTCATAGGTTCTTTAAAATTGATGGAAGGAAGGCTAAATGCGAAAGATTTATGGTCCTGTGGGCATAAGGGAATGGTGAAGAAGCAATCCTTAAGATCTATAACAATTTTGAGATAGCCTTGAGGAATAGCCACTGGGGAGGGCAAGCCAGGTTGTAGGGCTCCCATAAGTACCACAGTGGCATTAACTGCTCTTAAGTCTTGCAGTAACCTCCATCTACCAGATTTCTTTTTTATGACAAAGATGGGTATATTCCAGGGTGAATGAGATTCCTCTATATGTCCCAATTTAAGTTGTTCCTGCACCAACTGTGTCGCGGCAGTTAATTTTTCTAGGGAAAGCGGCCATTGATCTACCCAAACAGGATCATCAGATTTCCAAGTTATGGGATCCGCAAAGTTTGAGGGTGCAGGTTTGTCAATGGTCGCAACTAAAAATTTCCCAGGCCGTGCTTGTCAAATTGTCCATTAGGCTGGATGGGGGAGGTAATTCCATTTTCTGATTTGCCTAGGCCTTTTCCTGGGCAATAGTTTTGGGCTAACATTTGAGCAGTAACTGTATCATTAGGGCTACACATCATCACTCCCATCTGAGAGTGATGGTGTCATTAGGACTACACATCATTACTCCCATTTGGGTTAGGAGGTCTTGTCTCCATAGATTAACCAGTATGTGAGGCACAATGAAAGGCTTAATTTGGCCTGAATTGCCTGCAGTGTCCTTCCAGGTGAGAGTTTTCGAGCTTTGTTTGGGATTTAAGCTTTGTCCTATTCTTGTTAAATTAGTTACAGTATCAGTAGTAGGCCAGCTGGAGGGCCAAACATTGGAAGCAATAATAGTAACATCTGCACCAGTATCAATGAGTCCTTCAAATTTCTTTCTGTCTAGCCACAACGTTAGGGTTGGCTTTTTGTGGGTGATGGTCTGGACCCAATAGGCGTCTGAAGAGCCAAAACTATGGGAGGTACGGGCATGGGAGAAAACTGGATTTGTTCCTGTGGCTAGGGGAATCAACACAAGTTGGGCAAGCCTATCTCCCGGGGTGATGGGGACAATAACGTTCTCAGTTTTTATTAGAATTTTAATTTCTCCCATATAATCTGAATCAAGTACCCCTGGTATAACTGTCAGGCCTCTAAGGGCTCAGCTACCTCTTCCTAGAATCAGACCACAAGTGCCTGGAGGCAAGGGACCATGCACACTCATCTTTATTATTTGAATTCCCATTTCCGGGGTTAGTACTGTGTGGGAGGCGGAACTGAGGTCCTATCCTGCGCTTCCGGGCCTGGCTTGGCAGAGGTCTGAAACAGATTGTTGTTGCTTGCAGGGATGAAATTGATTGCCCCAATTGTTTTTGTCGGGGGCCTGAGGCTGGCCCCTCCACCCATTTCCCTGATGGGGAGGCAAGGTATTGCCCTGAAAATCAGTTTTGGACTTGCACTCATTTGCCCAATGCCTTCCTCGCCTGCATCTAGGGCAAAGGCCTGGAGGTCTATCAGAGCTATTACTGTTTTTTGTCTGACCAGGGGATGACTTGCAATCCCAAGAGAAATGGCTGGGCTTTCCACATTTAAAGCATCCCCTTGTAATAGGCCGTTTTGTGTCATTTAAGAAGTCTTTCACTGTTTTACCACTAAGTGCAGCTGCCATGGCAAGACCCTGTTGATAGGAGGAGCTGATCTCAGTGCAAAGTCGCATGTATCAGTCTAAGTTAGTTTTCTTTTTATGAGGGCGAATGGCGGCCTGACAGGCAGGATTAGCATTTTCAAACGCTAGTTGCTTTAGGATGAGCTCAATACCGCCCTCGATACTACCAAAAAGCCTAGTAGCGGTGGTGGTTAAGCTATGAACAAAATCAGCAAAAGGCTCATCGGGACCTTGTTTAATGGCAGTAAGAGAGACCCCCCGAGTCACCCTTTGCAGGGAGTTTTTTCCAGGCCTTAATGGCTGCTGTCTGGATCTGAGCAAAAAGGCCAGGTGGATAATTCATTTGGGTGTCATTGGAATCATACTCTCCCTCGCCCATTAACATATCAAAGGTCCAGTCATCATTAATCATCTTAATGTTTTTCTTAGCAGTTTCTTTACAGGCATCAAAATATTCTGATCTCCATAAAAGGAAATCCCCCCCATGAAGGAGAGCCTTGGCAAGGGTATGCCAATCTGAGGGAGTTAACCATTGCTCTGCCAGTCCTTCAAGGAGGGTAATGGTATAAGGGGCCGTGGCACCATACTGTGACACCGCAGTTTTTAACTCTTTCATGTCTGAGAGCTTGAAGGGGTTATGTTGTCTGATGGGCTCATCATCATCTCCACCACCCTTTATAATTTCTAAAACTGGAAAGGCTTTAAGAGCAGAGGGCGTGGTAGTGGACAAACCGCGCGAACGGCTGACTATCGGGGTCTTGGTTGTGGTGGTTAGGGGGCCTGAGAACAAATCTTGGACTGTCAGGCTCTGGAGTTCAGCGACTGCGCTCTAACTCAATGCGTTGCTGTAAACGGTCAATTTCTGCTTTTAAGTGCTCAATGGGAGGAAAAACTGGGAAAGCCTCAAGGGCTGGCAGGGTTGATGGAATAGCATAAGGAGGGGGCAGGGGACGAGCCTCAGAGGGGGCCATAGGCGCAGCATCAGGCTGGAGCGGCGAATCGTTAGAACCGTTCTTAGGATTTGGGTCTGACTTGATATAATCAAGATCTGAATTTTTGGAGTGGGTCTTAGAATGTCTAGCTGAATCCTCCTCATCACTATCAAGGGAAATAAGGTCAACTTCGGCAGAGACTTTACTAGCTTTTGGGCAGGTGCTATTTTGTAACAGATCCTCTGCCTGTTTTATAGCCACCTCGGTGGGTGCTTCCTTTCTGTCTATTAATTCTTTTATTAAAGTCCAATATGAAAAGGCTGTGACTGGAATCTTATCTGGACCAAAAACTTTATAGTAATCCTCTAATGCACTTCCTACTCTCTTTCATCTTTTAATGTCTATCAAGCCCTCCTGGGGAAACCAGGGACAAATTTCTTTAACAAAATAAAAAAAAATGAAACAAATCCATAGTCTTAACCTTTACTCCCCGTGTCTTTAAAGCATCCTTTAACTGCTTAACATAAAGCTCATGCTGACTCAATTCTTGCCCCATGATCGGACGTTTCCACTCACTTTCGGTTTCAGCCGAGGTAGGTTCCCACAGCAGCTCAGATGTGTCTCAAAACTTGTCGAACTTTTCACATCGTCTCCCTCACTGCTGCCTCAGAATCCAAGCCCCACGTTGTGGCGCCAGATGTCCCGGCCCGTGGGACTTTCAACAGGGTACCTGGAGTGAGGAGTGGGGATTGAATGGGGCAAGAGACACAGAGAATGGAGACAAGACAGTGCTCTGATCAAGTCTTGTTTATTGAACATCTGCACAAAGCTTTTATAGGGAAGCAGAGGGCGGAAGAAGCTGGGCGGGTAAGTTCCTCTGTTTACCGTACATTCCACAGCCAGACCATGAGGCAGGATGTTTTTACAGGATGAGGAAATTTACAAGGTTGAGGCAGAAAAACATGTTTTTCACAAAGTCATCAAAAGGAAGTCAGAGGCTGAAACTGTAAACAGCTTGCTTCACAGACAAGTCACTATTTCTGGGTAGGGGGGCCCACGGCTCCCTACAATAATCCAGGGCATGTTCCCTTACAGAACAACAAAGCAACCAAACAACACCATGTATTCTCTGATGAACAGTTTATTTATACAAAGGAACATAAAGCACATTGAAAAAGCTAATAATAATGATAATATGTATAACTATGTCAGTTATAAAGTGATGCATTCTGTGCAAAATTAGTAATCTGAAATAGAATATAAAATATGTATATTTCATACTAACACAGCATAAAAAGAATATTTAAGAGGAAGAGACACTATCAAGGAGATTTATAACTCCCACTGAGCAAATATAAATGAAAATATATAGATAATAGAAAAAGAAGCAAGCAACTGTATGTTTTTAATAAAATAAGATATAAATAGTTGAATAGAGAATTGGAGAACTGGGTCACTGCATTAATTAGCTTGAAAGCAACAGAAAGAAGCATGGAAAATATGACAGGATAATGAAAAAATATTAAGCTTAAAATGAGACAGAAAATGTAACAACACACTTATGTTGCTGAAGGAAAGTATGAACATAACACTTTAGCACACACACTCCTTATTAACATATATTATATATCACTTCACAGTGAAATCTCATGATAATCAAATCAATGATGTTAGGATAAAGACCACATGTTTGTAAGGGAACCACACTTGTATTTATACTTGCATTATCAGTCACAGGATTAGAACAGGGTAAACAAAATATCATTAACATGTTAAGTTAAAATGCATCTACTTGTCTATAGTTTGAGAAACTTCCACTCAATAATATTCAAAATGGTATATCCAATACAAAAAGATCAATATTGATTTCCCTGGATGCTGATCTATGATTCAGCTAAAATGTGCCAGAAAAAAATCTATTACTTGTTAAAATACAGAAAATAATGCATATTAATTGATTCTCTAAATCCTAGGTTTGCTTCTATCTGAATGACAGATCAGTGAAGCAATGTTAATTACATAAACTGTTAGGCATTGGGTTAAAAATGAATCAAGAGCTGATTACATATGTTAGAAATAGCTGCATAGAACAAAACACAGATTATAAATCAAAGATGGAATTATAATGATGAACAAGATTAAAATGAAAGATAGAAGGAACACATTTTAAAAATATTATAGTATTCTTCTATTTTAAGTTATCTGTGTTCTTTATTATTCTTGATTTGTTGCTATTACTATGCACATTAAAAATTAATAAAAATTGACCTCCAAAAAACAAATCTCAACAAATTGCAAAGAATCATTATAAAACAGGCTGTATCATCTGGCCACAAAATAATTAAAAAATCAATAATGATAATAATAAGACATTATCTTTGGGAATTTACACAACTTGTTTAAAAATTACTCTTCTATAGAAATAGAACTTTAAATGTAAGTGAAAAAACACTCTGAACTCTACACATCATAACCTGAGAAATGCTACTGAAGCATGCAATAAACACATTGAAAAAGAGACTAAGGCTATATAAATATAAATATAATAAGGATTTTTAAAACAGTATTTGTAATGCTTGATATAGAAGAAATCAGTGAGTTTCTGGAAATAGTCAAACTGCTACAATTTAGTCAAAAGTTAAAGAAGACCTTAACAATCTCATGCCATAGAAAAAGTTGAAGCAGACCAGGTGTGGTGGTACAAACCTTTAATCCCAACAGAGGCAGATGCAGGAATATCTCTGGAAAATCAAAACCAGCCTGATACACATAGTTAATTCCAGGACAATTTGGGCTACAGAGAGTCCCTGTTTCAAAAAAAAAAAAAAAGGTTGAGGCAAGAGTGAATAGTCTTCACATTTTCTTGACCACTATTCCAAAATATCTAGGTCCACTCATTTTTTTAAGAAAATGCCTGTGCTGGATAGCTTTACTGTCAACTTGACATACTTGGGTTGAGGGAGCCTCAATTGGGGAACTGCTTCCATTGAACTGGCCTCTGGCTTTGTCTGTGGGACATCTTCTTGATTGTTGAGTGATGTTGGAGGGTCCAACCCACTGTGGGTGGTGCTACCCCTGGGCAGGTGGGCCTGTGTTACATAAGAAAGCAGGCTAAGAAGGGGCCAGGGGAGGAAGCCAATAAGCAGCATTCCTCCATGGCCTGTGTTCCATCTCCTGCCTCCAGGTTCCTGCCCTGAGTTCCTACCTTGGGCTCCCTGATGAACTGTGACCCAGGAGATACAAGTTAAAATAAACCCTTTCCTCCCCAAGTTGGTATTGGTCAGAGTATTTTATCACAGCAATGGAAAAACAAACTAGGACCAAAATTGGTACCAGAGAGTGGGGCATTGCTGTGACAGACTTGACCTTGGTCTTTTTAGGATTGTGGAAGCATCCAGAACTTTGGGCTGAAAAAGCCATTGAGTGTTTAGAGTTTGTTGCTGTGAATCTTGGAACAGTTATGCTGAAACAGTTGTGAACAATGGAGGCCTGGCTTGTGAAGCTTCAAAGGAAAACAGAGACTGTCAGGGCTGTTTGTATGATGTTTCAAATTGAGAATTTGTGGGTTCTGGTTGGCCGGGGCTGAAGAATCAGCTGTGATTAAGAAGAGACCAGAACCTGAAGTAAAACCTTTGCTTTACTAGGACAATTGATGCTGGTTAGCTGGGGCTGAATCAGTTCTAAGTAACAAGAGACCAGTATCATTGTGGTGAAGTTTTCTGGGAGTTATTTCCTCAGAGTCAGCATACAGAGGGGACCTGAGCCTCTATCTTTGACTGGATGAAGGACTTGGTAATGTGTAAGAGTATCCTCCATGGTTCTGCTGTAGAAAGCATGAAGGGGTCACAGAGAGCAGCTGAGACTTGGCACTCAGAGGCCAGGAAAGACTTTCACTTTTAGGTGAAAGTACAGCTTCAGTTTTAGTGATGATCCCAGGATTGAATGGGTAATGAAGGGACTCTGAGGCTTTGCACCCCAAGAGGCAGGAAGAGGCCATTGGTGAAGGTGTAGCCTCAGTTTTAGTAGAGACTCCAGGTTTTGAAGATGCCAGGACGATGGGGCAACCACCAAGGAGAGTAGTAGGTCTGGACTGGAGCTGGCCTGGGTCTTCAGGAAGAGCTGTGTGTACTGTGGATGGCTGAGTCAGAGAAGTGGAGCTGCCAGAACCCTTCAGAGCCCAGAAGATCATGAGTCAATCCCAGATATCCAGCCTTGAGCTACTTTGTTGGACTTTGGTTTTGCTTAAGTGTGCCCTATTCTTCCCTTTGAAATAAGACAACACTTGTTTTGGATTTTATAGAAGCCCATGCACGGTTAAGGGGCTTTTAAAATAGACTATGGACTTTGAAGTGTTTGCATTTTTTTGGGAATATTTTATTTATTACTTTTATTTTATGTGTATGGGTGTATTGCCTGCATGTAGGTAAGTGCACCCGTGTCACATCATACAATGCCTTCAGAGGACAGAGGAGGCTGTCAGATCCCCTGGAAATGGAGCTATGGACAGTTGTTAGATGCCATGTGGGTGGTAGAATTCAAACCTGGGTCTTTTGCAAGAACAACCAGTGTTCTTAACTGCTGTGTCATCCCTCCAGCCCTGTGTTTGGATATTTTTTAAGGACTCTGGGGCTTTCAAGGTTGTACTGTCTTATGTTGGGATATTAACATCATGTCTTGGGGAGAAGAATTGGAAAGGTTATGGTTTAATAGGGATGTGTGTATTAGTCACTTTTCTGTTGCTGTGATAGAAACACTGACCTGAGCAACTTATAGAAAGAAGAGTTTATTTGAGCTTAGGTGGCTCAGCCTCTCTAGCTTTGCTGCATGCTACACACATCTCTCTCTTGTGCTGGTACCAGACCCTGTATACGGTCTTCTTGGCCAATGCCTCACAGCTCTGGCATCACAAACTTCTTGGGGTCTCCACTGCCAACCAGGCTTCACCTTGACAGCTTCATACCGTGGCCTATCAGGGCCTTCTCTAGTCAGGGGAATCCTTGCTTCGTGCTGCCTGGCCTCTAAGGAAGAATTGATGAGTCCTTCACTTTTCCATCTTTCATGCCTCTAAAGCCATCACCAGGTAAACGACACTGCCAAGTTTGACTGTAAATTTGGGGTGGACTCCAGCTTGCTTTATCCATTTTAGAAGCTTTTTTCTTCAGTGGCCCCTGCAGCATTTTTCTTTCACAAGTTGGAGGCTTAACTGGGTGTGGTCTTGCCCTGGAGGCACTCTCTCCATTGTTTAAATTTGAATCTCTAGGCCCCCTCCTTAATCACTTTAATCTTCTTATCAATAGGATCCTTTCCATCACATGCCAGGTCCCTAACATTCATCTTCCTAGTGCTCTTTTTCAATCCAAACTGTATTTCTTCACTGTAGATCTGCATAATATTCACCATTAATAGCCATGCCACCATTTCTACATTCGGCTGTCTTGAAATTTCTTCCATCAGAGAAATTAGTCCATTACTTTTCAATTTAGCCTCAGGTAAGTCTGTGGGCAGACTCCAGCCAGACTCTTTGCCAAAGTGTCCCAATTGCTGCTTAAGTCCTTATTTCCCTCTGGAACTACATTGTTCTCAGCACTACTTTCCTCCAGGCACTTACTAGAATGGCCTGTTAAACTCTGCTTACAGCAATCAGCTGCTTTTCTAGCCCAACCTTCCAAAGTCTTGCACATTTCTTCAAAACCCCACATGGTCATGTTCTACACAGCCAACAGCCCACTCTCCGGTACCAAT